TCCCAATTGATACGGAAATAAAAAGAAAATGAGTTTTAACAACCGGTAAAAAGAATTGGGAGCCTACTAAATACTCTTGACTTTGCTCCAGGCACTTTGAAAGGAATTTTTGAATCCGAAAAAGAACTGAATTGTTTCGTAATGCTGTCCCAACACTATACAATAAAGGTTTGTTTGCTTAGATATGGTCATATTTTAAATATTTTAACTGTGTTTTTATCTAGTAGATGGGCTTGCTTTTGACCAGAAATTAACCCTTTCACTGTCCCGTGCGTAGGTCATTGGTATTGTCTTACTATTGTGTTTTAAAATCGGACAATGCATGTGTGAACTAAAGTGTGTAAGTTTTAATATGATGGATTATGATAGGATAAAAGAGAATTTAAAAGACATCGTTTCTTTTACATTTAATATATAGAAGAAAATTGCAAAATGTAACATTTTTCCAGGACGATGTTGCGAACATAGAAGGACCTGAGCGTAATTATATAGTGATGAAACAATCAAATACGGTGCGGTGCTTCTTTAATTTTCATTGCCTTGCTAACTAAACACTAGTACTAGTGATAAGAATTAATATAAAAGTTATAGTTAACATGTAATGGCATACTGTTATATTTTTTTAATGAATGCTAAATAATATTCAGAATATCTGATATTTTTCCAGCAGGACATTAAAATTATTAAAAATGGGCATCAGATTGATGATGTAGTTATGAAAGTACCAAGCACATTTGCGGTAGGTTTTAAGTTTTTAACATATTGTGTTGTGCCAGTCACAAAAACTGATAGTACCTAACTGTCATACAATTGGGCTAAGGGATTAAATACTAAAACCAGAAAATGAAAAGTAGCGTATGTTATGTTTACCTATAAATTTGTATTTGTAAAAGAAGCTGAACTACTCACTGACTTATTAGCTGACATTACGCACATCATTATTTGTCGTTGTTTTTGAGAGCCATTGATTTGCTTGTTTACATTTTGTATTTTGCTATGCTGAATATGATATAGGTGACATGTAACATTATGAATACAATTGAAAATCTATTATTGGGGATCAATAACGGCCGCTAATAGGTTTAATGGGTTAAAACATTGTTTGAGCCACTGGGTACGCCAAGAAGTCTTACCAAGAGATTGAAACAGCAGCAAAATCTGTCGGAAAAGAGGTGTAGAATGATGCGCACTCTTCGTCAGAAAACAAGGCGTCTAAAAATAAAAGTGGCGAATCTGGAACAAATTCTCGAATAGTTTAAGGCCAAAGCTCTTGTTAACGAAAAGGATAGCAATCTACGTAACCCAATTGATCCCATCAATAAAGATTTCCTTATATTGACAATCACAGAATGCTTCTCATTAAAGCTGTCGCTTTAAGATATTTTGAGATAAGAATACATTATGAAACCACAAAAATTAGCGAGTCCGTCGAAAAACTTAGGAATATACATACATACTAAATTAGTTTTATTTCAAGGACAATCATAATTAAATTGGATTTACCAATACCTATAACTGTAATTATTACAATTTTGTTAACAAATAAATATGTTTTAACATTTGTTATTAATCAGGGCGAGCGAAGCAAGCCCTGCACTATCACACAATCTCTATGCATTTTTGTGGTACACTTTACAAATAAACTTTTAGGTTTGGGCTTTGAAATAGTATTTTCGATTCATGTCTAGATATGTTATCAATCATAAAAACATTATTTTATCCTTATTTCAAAAAATGGAAGATATAACAATTTTCATTAATCATATATTTTTTGTATTACTAACGCCATTTGTAAGAAAATTAAAAAAACACTTTGTAATAGCACCACGTTAGATGGCGCTGATTATGAATTATGAATTTTTCATACGTGGTAGAGCTATGCTGCAGCTATATTAATAGTATAGTTGTGGCACGAATGGATTGGCTCAACTGGAGAAGGGCCAGCCTGTCACAGAATACCAGCGTAAAATAGTAGCTTAATGCTGCTGTGTTTCGTATGGTGTGTGTAGAGAACTGAACGTTTTTCTGGAAAAGAGGCATTCTTATTCCTCACGGCTGACAACGCATCTTCATTTTAATTCGCAAACTAAGTTAGATGTAGATTTCTATGGGCCATAGCAACACTTAGCATCAGGTGGACTGTGTGTTCGTTTGTCACCCTTATTCTATAAAAAAGGGCATAATTTGATGAAAAATGTTGGATAATCTCTTAGGTTCCGACATTTTTACTGGCCAAGTTAGTGAGATCTATGGTCTGGCCAAGGTCAATAACATATTTTTTTCAGAACAATTATTTTTTAAATGTTATTTATAAGAATTTGCGAGCCATTACAAAATTGTAATTTTTGCTAGTATTACCTATTTGTTTCATTTGCTTTAATTATCTTATGCTAATAACACGTGAATTAAGTGGCCTAGAATTACTGATGTACGCTTCACAAACAAAATTTTCCTATTTTGTGCGTAACATCGCTAAAATGGCAGCACTGTGTTACTGAATGAAAAGCAGAATAGCGGTTACGCGACCCCGCCGTCTATTCGATTCTCTGTAGCTTGCTACCTACATATTTATTCTCTGTCTGCGATTAGCTTGCTACCATAGACATAGTATTCTCTATCTACGCTTGCTACATATTTATTCAGGCTCAGAAGGGCAAAAGCCCAGAGCCGTAAAGTCAGTTATAAAAAAAATACATATATAATACGAGGGCGGCACTGAAAATTTCGGGAATCAAGGAAGTGACACAACATTACTATTTAAAAATGTATTTATTGCTTTTCGAAGTATTCTCCGCGAAATTTGACACATTTTTCCATACGATGGAACCAATCATTGAAGCAACCATTCCATTCGGAAGTTGGGGTCTCCAAAATGGCCGTTTTGTAGGCGTCCACAGCTTCTTCAGGTGATGAAAATCTCTGTCCACGCAATTTATTCTTTATTTTAGGGAAAGTATAGAAATCATTAGAGCTTAGGTCGGGGCTGTACGGCGGATGGTCTAATAATTCTATGTTTTCTTGCTCTAAAAACTTTTGTTCTGTGTGCGGCTTGAGAACTCGCATTGTCGTGATGGAGGATGATGCGGCGGTTGCAGTTCTCTTTACGGAGTTCAGAAACGACCTGTGGCAAACAAATGCTAGTTTACCATTCTGCATTAACCGTTCTTTGTCCCTCAAGAGGAATAGTCGTAACATGGCCAGTTTTGGAGACAAACGTGGCCACCATTTTTTTTGCAACACTCTGTGAACGAACAAGTTTTATTGGCTTTAACTCATTTTCGAACACCCAAACTCGTGACTGGTTTTTTGTTTCGGGTTCGTACGCGTATATCCAGGATTCGTCACCTGATACGATGTTGTATACAGCATTTGAGGATCCTGCGTGGAATCTTTCGAGAGTTCTGACGCACCAAGTAACGCGAGCCGCTTTTTGCTCTTCACAGAGCGAATGCGGTATCCATCGGGAAATCAACTTTTTTACACCTAATTGTTCATGCAAGATTATTTGTATTTGACTCATGTCAATGTCTAAAGTTGCCTGAATTTCGCGGTATGTCACATGTCGATCTTCCTCAATCAGCTTCCGCACAGCATCAACGTTTTCTTGGGTGACTGCAGTTTTTGGACGACCTTGACGGGGATCATCACTGAGCTTGACACGTCCACGTTGAAATTCAGCAAACCAGCGATAAATTGTGTTTTTGGATGGGGCTTCATCACCAAATGCAGAAATCATCCGATCAACACACTTTTTGTGTTAAACCACTTCGAAAGTCATAATAAATCATCGCTCTTGAATTTTCTCGAGTCAATTCCATTTTCTCAACGACTAAACAAGTTTAATAAAACATTGTGGCAAGACCGAGAATCTTTTTTTTAAATAAATAAATGGTATTCGATTTTTAAAACCAAGGAGTTTTCAATTAAAAAGATTTTAATATGACAGGAACAGTGGAAATTAGCTTGCTACATATATATTTATCCAAAGAGAATATAATCACTACGTTTATTTGTATTTTTTTTTATTTTGTATTTATCTATGGTGGAAATATTCTATTCCCGATACTTTTAGTACAGCCCATAGATAAATATATATGTAGCAAGCTAGTGCAGCCCTCGTATTTAATATTTGTCTATGGTTCTATGGAAGTAGTCTGTGTCAGTGGTGCCAAGTTTAGGCTATCTCGAAGGATGTCGGGGTGACGAAAAATTGCGATTGGCGACTGGTCGCAATTTTGGCTACTTTGGAAAAAACAAGGGCGCTTTTTGGCTATAATAATTATTTTCCTTATTAAGGAAGTCTCTTAGGATATATAATAAAAATTCGTGTAATGGAACATATGTTTTTGACACAGAAAACTATATTTGAAGGTATCAATGACCTAAGAAAAAGAGGTCTTTCTCAAAGAAAGATATATATATATATATATATATATATATATATATATATATATATATACACTTCGTTAATCTCTTTAACTGTATGTAAAATATTTCGTTTCAATTTCTAAAATATTAATAATAATGAACAGATAAAATACATTTTATAATTTATGTTGATCTTTTCTTTCACGTTTACGATAAAGTATGTACTTCAAATTTTATGTTGAAAAATTATAAATAAGGGATCTACGTTTAAAAATAGCCTTTATAGGCTAAATGATAATTCAGTAGGCAATTTTAGGCCACATTACAGAAAAAATATTAGGCAAATTTAGGCTACTTATTTTTAATTTTCGGCGACTCGGAACGATCTAGATTTGGCAACACTGGTCTGTGTCTTTATTTCACAATTTCAGGTTATGTTTCTGGTTATGAATATGAAACAGATAAATATATAATATGAAATAAGAACAGAATCAGGATTCAGGATTGTAGTTTTTATTTTAATTTATTACTTACTAGTTAGGATATTAATTCTCTATTAGTTATTATTAATAAATTAAAAGTGTAAACTGGATAGGAAATTTTATTTAATAATTAAAGTAGAGAAGTAAAGAATGTCTTTGCTATCCTTTGCCACTATAGTTTTAAAAAGAGGGGTCACCTTACGTTTATCTCATTATTTTAGCAATATTAACCGTAATCATGTTTCTCGAAATTATTCTTTTAGTTCAGTAACGACTAAAACAGTTCATGACGTGAATACCAAAGTTGCAAAAGACGTCATATTATTCAAATATGAGAATCCTACGTTTTTTAAATACATGAATATATTTGCAATTGTCCAGTACATGTTTTGGTCATACCTTGGTGTTTTTGCCTTTAATTCATTGAGAGATGCGCCGGTGGATAAGTCAACAATAACAGATGAAACTCCTTGGTTCAGAAGAATAAATCTGGGCGAAAATAAATACAGAAATACTTTAGGGACTGTTGCTTTGGTTGTTGGTGATTATATTTATTTTCTTTCTATCAATTACGTTCATAATTAAAATTACATGCAATTATTAATTTAATTTGTCGATGGATGCTTCTAATGTGCACAATGCAATAAAATGTCCAATGATATTTACTGAGAAGTACGTATCCACCAGACAAAAAATCAGTGTTGTCTTTATTTAGCTTCAATTTGTAAATAATTTTAGTAAATAATTTTGTATATTCTATTCATAATAACCACAGTGAAAACATACCTACATAGTTTTGTATGAAAATCATGGTATATTATGTAAAGGAAGCTGGTGGCAATTTTATCATTTAATGTCAAAGGCAGTTTTATTAATCCTATTAAAAATTTAGAGACATACTCATAATGTGTTGATTATTAATTTTATCATTATAAAGACATTACTTTCAGCTGGCGCATTTTACATACATGTATTGCATAATGCATAAGGACAAACATCGACACTAAACAACAGACTTCCACATTTCAAACAATTGTTTCAAATGGAACAATTATTTGATAAATTTTTTTTATAGGATAGCGTGACAAACGAGCACACAGTCCACCTGATGGTAAGTGATTGCTGTGGCCCATATACATCTACATCTAACCTCGTTTTGTGAATCAACATGCAGATGCGTTGTCACCTGTGAGGACTAAGATGGAATGCCTCTTTTCCAGTAAAAAGGGTCTCCGGTTCTCTACACTCACCATACGAAACAGCAGTGTTAAGCTGCTATTTTACGCTGGTATGCTGTGAGAGCGTGGTCCTACCCCGGTCAAGCCGACCCATTTGTGCTACAACTACTGATATAGCTGTAGCATGGCTCTACCACGTAAATATCTTAATACTTGACACTTTTTGTGCAAGATTAGAACCTGTGTCCCTGCAGCATTAGAGTTTAGCTACTGAGCTACTGAGCGGTCACATATTATCATCAAATCTTAACTTAAAAAGATTTTCATACAAATCTTTTACTTCTATTGTATACAAGCATATTTTTTTTAATTGATATTTAAAAAAAATATGCTTGAAATTACTGCTCTATTGTTTTCCAAATGATGAACCACCTGCTCCTGAGCATCAGAACAAACTAATTTTGCTGGCAGTGTAAAATTTAATGTTATTTTTCCACACAAACTACATTATGCATGAATAAAAAGAAAGTTCTTTGAAATATTGTTTTACATTTACTTACAGGCACAGGATCTTTAGCCATGGTATGGATGTACACCCTGAAGTCAGTGAGATATTTAATCCTTAACAAAGGTGGACAGCACTTGACTTTTGTAACATATGGCCCCTTTGGAAATAACCGCATTATGAAAGTGCCAATAGAAAATGTTTCTTGTAAAGAGAGCAGGAAACTGGCAAAAGTGCAGCTACCCCTTAAAGTTAAGAATACAGTAATGCACTATATGTTAGATATGAGGGGAGAATTCAAGAACCCTCTTTTGTTTGATAGCACTGCTGGCCTTTCCAGAAAATGGTGATATTGCTGTTATATTGCATAATTGTTTGCCAATTGTTCATTTGTCAGTTATGTATAATTAAATAAATATTGTGGAGCATAACTTAAAAAGGTTAGTTTAAAACAGCTGCAATGTGTAAATGTGTGTAACTTACATAAAATTAGTTTGTAAATAAAACTTTAGTTGTACATTTAATTGTTTTATTTAATTATTTTTTATTCTTTCATATAAGTTTAGCAATAAGTATGAGTATGTTATATTAATTAACATTATATGTTAAAATCAAGTAATTGAACTAATGCAATATTTCAATAAAAAAGGTTGCAAAAGATTCCTTTGTAAAAGTTTTCTGTCGAGAGAGACTGTTGAGAAGTGGTACTTTACTCCTGACCTTAGAGGATGCTTCGCTCAGCAAGGCTATACTCCAGTTTCTCTGCGTGTTAGAATCCGTAAAGATATACTCTGGATGAGTTCAACCCGAGTGGATGTTGCAGCCTAATATGACTACATTTATCAAAATCCAGATGTGTTGTTATCTATAGACTGTGATGAAATGCTTCACTCATTATCTATACAAAGATCTAAATTTTGTACATTTTTGTATTATTGGTAATTCCGCTAGATTTTTCGTGAGATATCAGCATACCTACATCAAAGACCTATATCCCAAGACAGTGCAAGACAGAATATGTAGAAGTGGTATGTACCTATAAAGGATGGAAATAACTACTAGTGTGGCAATACTGTAGCTGTAAACTTATAATTATACTAGCATCATAATTTTTGAGTTATATGCATTTATTTTTATCATAAATTCATTCCGTAACTTGAGTCAATGTAACTACAATTATATACCAACTGCAACACCAGGGAAATGGCAGGTGCCTTGCTGGCCTTTTAAAAGGCGTAAAGGCCCCTGAATATGAAATTATAATCCCACCAAAATCATAAATACAAAAAGTCAGTCAGTCGCAATTTTACTACCGGTCAGTGCAGTCGCTTCGTAATGACGTGACGGCTCTAATGCCCAACCTACAATATTTTCGTAGCGCGGAAATAATTCGAAATGGCGTGTCAACCAAAACGCACCGAAACCGTCGTAGTTCATGAGTTCCTGGCCTTTGTTCAACAAAAATTGAACGTCATGGACCAGGTGTCTCTGGAGCAGATACTGATGACAAGCTTCACCGAGAACGAGATCATCCAAGCGAAGAAGGTGTTAGCAGATTCAGCCGTGAGCCAAATCCGTCTCATCGCACGTCACAGGGATGGACGCGGTAAGAAAAACCTGTAAGACGTCTTCAGACTGTTCAATGAGACCGACCCTGATGACATCCCAACTGTCGTTGCGCGTGATCTCAACAAGCTGCCTCCCGTGACGTTCGGTCACGTAGACGTGACCAGATTGTTGAAAGACATCACCACGTTGAAAGCCGATGTTACCGACATCCGTTCCAAATTTGAAGAATCGGAACGAGCCGCAACAGAGCTGAGGAACGAATTCAATATGTTGCGAAACATAATTGCAACATCTGCGAATTCACCGCCGTCGCAGAATGTTAATACGACACGCGGTAACCGTAATAGTAGTCATATTTCACCGATGATTGCGACTCCGTCATGCGATACCGCCTATCAGCGGGTTGATGACCGTGAAACTAGGGCGACCTCGGTCGTCATTGCATCACTACCTCAACCCTTGACTGAACCCATTAGTACTCCTCCGCCGAAGCCAACCTCAAAACAAGGGAAGACGTTTGCGGATGTTGCCCGAAAATCTTTACAACCGGCACCCTTTTGTGGTCGATAGCGAAAGAACGTGGAAATAAAATCAGTTCCAGTGGTGACCCAAGATAAAATTGATAAGGACGGGTTTACTCTTGTTGAGAAGAGATGTCGGTCGAGACCCGTCTGTAACCAGCGTGGGACGGCCAAAATAAACGCGAGTACAACTCTGCGTGCTGTGGAGCCAACTATACAGCTCTACATCTTCCGTTTGGACACAAGTACGTCGGGAGAAGACGTCCTGCGTTTCGTGGGAGAACGAAGCCGATGCCGCATTGATGATCCGATCTCTTTACATTTGCAGCGACTGGAGTCTAATAAGTCAACGAACTTCGAATCCTACGTAGTCCATGTTCCTGCAAAACACGAAGAGACATTCCTCGCTCCCGATTTCTGGCCGTCTGGGGTAGTGTTTCGCCGATACAGGGACGCGCCAAAGAAAAAAGTTCCCTTTTTTTTATAGGAGAGGGGGCAAACGAGCATACGGCTCACCTGATGGTAAGTGACTACCGCCGCCCATGTACAACTGCAACACCAGAGAGGGAATTGCAGATGCGTTGCCGGCCTTTTAAAAAGGAGTACGCTCTTTTCTTGAAGGTCCCTAAGTCGTATCGGTCCGGAAAAATCGCTGATGGTAATCGATTCCACAAGGAAGTTGTGCGAGGAAGAAAACATCTTCTAAATCGCACAGTGGTGGACCGCCAATCATCCAGATGGTGTGGATGGTATCGGGAGTTCTGCCGCGATGTGCGTTCGTGAAATTTGGCGGCTGGGATTAATCCGAACAATTCCTCAGAGCACTCCCCATGGTAGATGGGAAAGAAAATGCAAAGGGATGCAACATCTCTTCGAGTGCCAATGAATCGAGCCGATCGGAAAGGGCTCGGTCGTCGACGATTCGAGCCGCTCTGCGCTGGATGCGGTCAAGTGGAAGGAGCTGGCACTGGGGAGCCCCTGCCCAGAGATGGGAACAGTATTCCATGTGAGGCCGAACCTGCGCCTTGTAAAGTTGCAGGCGGTGTGCCGGCATGAAATACTGTCCCGCTCTGCTGAGCACGCCAAGCTTTTTAGAGGCCAATTTGGCCTTCTCTTCCAAGTGACCACGAAACTGCACGTCACTCGATATGTCGACTACGAGGATACCGATACTGCCTGAGGCAAGAAGGGGAGTGCCTTGAAACTGAGGAGATACGACAAAGGGGTTCTTTTTGGCGGTAAACGCGCAAACTTGTGTCTTCTGAGGATTAAACTGGACTAGATTTAGTCGCCGCCAATCCGAGACTTTGTTCAGCAAAGACTCGACTTCAGACACAAGTTTGTTCCGGTACTCGGCGACATTTTCCCGAGAAATATTGGCACGGCCGGTGTATAGAGCATCACCAGTGCTGTCATCCGCATAGCAATGAATGTTACCAGTTAGCAACATATCATTGATATGCAGAAGAAACAGCGTTGGTGATAGCACACAGCCTTGTGGAACACCAGCGTTAATAGGCTTGTAGTCAGAACATGCACTGTCTAAAACGACCTTGATGCTCCGATCTGCAAGGAAGCTGGTGATCCAATTGCACAATTTCTCAGGAAGCCCATAGGAAGGGAGCTTCGAAAGAAGCACTTTGTGCCAGACCCGATCGAAGGCCTTCGCAATGTCCAGACTAACGGCCAACGCCTCCCCCTTGGACTCAACTGCCTCCGCCCATCTATGGGTCAGGTAGACCAAAAGATCACCAGCTGATCGACCCCGACGAAAACCGTATTGTTGGTCACTAATCAGCTGGTGATCCTCAAGGTACCGGATGAGCTGGCAGTTAATAATAGATTCCATTATTTTGGAGAACAAGGAGGTGATCGCGATAGGCCTAGGATATAGTTGGACGGGTCGGCAGCCCAGGCTTGATAACACTCCTGCTTACTGCGTAATGCAATCTTACAGGAGCGACCAAACCAAGGCTGAGATCTGCCTCCGATGGGTACCACAGATGATGGAATAAATAGTTCCATTCCCTGTAGCAGCACATCAGTGACAGAGTCAGCAACAGCGTTGGGATCATCTGGCGAGAAGCAAACCCGCCCCCATGGGTAGGAAGCAAAGAAAGACCTCATTCCGTCCCAATCCGCCGACCTGTAATGCCAAACACGGCGGCAACCTGCTAAACGCAACCGCGAGGGGAGCGTGAGTGGCACCACACTCCGGATCAGACAATGGTCCGAAGAGCCGAGAGGGGCATCGACGGAAACCTGATATCCGTCCGGATGAAAGGTCAGCAGAAGGTCCAACAGGGAAGGTGTATGATCCTCCACATCTGGAATCCGCGTAGGCGAAGTAACCAGTTGTGTCAGACCATATGCCAAGGCAAAGTCATAAACAGATCTCCCCGCATGATCGGTTAAACGTGAACCGAGCCATTCGGCGTGGTGGGCGTTCGCCCAGGATCATGGCAAAATCGCCAAGGATCACGATCTCTGCGGATGGGACCTGTTGTAGCATGGAATCTGTAGCCATTTGGACGTGGTCGATGAGTCGGTCTGTTTCGGCATTACCGATATGGGACCTATAGAGGCACCCGTAGACGCGCGGATGGTCGTCGCTGTCTACGCGTAACCAAATGTGGTCGTTCAGCACAAAACACCATTCGTAGTCGCTGGCTTCGCCGAGAGTTCAGATCAGTTATAGACTAGGAGATGGTAACAGAAAATATTCTCCCATTTTCACCTGCATGCCTTTTTAAGAATTGATAACTAACCCTAAAATATGAAAGATAGAGGAGTTACGAGCCCTTGCGCGCTTGCACGTCATAAAGAAAATGGCTTCTCTTTGTGTAAAGAATTTTAGTATTTTTGCGTGACATTATATTGCATGCCTTTGTAATATAACGTACTTAGAACAAATTTAAGCTATAATAATTGATGGCATGCAATTCGCAACGGCCGACGGGGCTCAAAGAGTTACGTAGAAATGAAAAATAAATAGAATATTTCCGAGTTTACATATTGCATGCCGTTGTAAAAAAATAAGTTTTTTTATCTTAAAAATACTCTACGAAAATTGGCATGCACCCCTCGTATGACCAAGGGTAGAAAATATTAAGAAAATGTGAAAATTCAATACAACTTTTCCGTGACTTCAAACTACTTCTAATATAGATAAATATTAACTTTATGACGAAATAATTCTGAAATATAAATTTAAATAATAATGCAAGTTTCATAAAATATATGAAACATTTCCGTGTTTT